GTATCTTAAAACAAAACACGAATGCCTCCCAGCTGCCTTACATCAGTCAGGGTCTACCCAGGGACAGTCACATATCTCTGACAGAGGGGATTTAGCAAAGGGGTTGGTTATATAGATGAGAAACCAAAGTTGGGGAAAGGGTTACTTAGACTATTTAGAAATAAGCAATAGGGAGGCCATGACCAGTGGGAGATGCAGCCAGAAGCAGATAGGGAGAAATACTCCCCCTGTCCTCCTGCCCTCCAATTGGCCTTCAGTGCCTGCCACTGGCTAAATTTGGGCAGAAGCCGGTGGGCAAGGGGATGGCCTATGCAAGGGTCAGCCCCTCGCCATGGGGCAGGGCAGAGCAGGGAATGAATCTTCTGAAGGTACATAGGCCCAAGGCAGACACAAACCATGTGAGGGTGGGGTAATTATACTACCATTTTACAGAGGAGGAAACTGAGGCCTGGGGAGCCCATGTGCCCTGCCCCAAGGGGTTCAAGCCCTTTTTTCTGCTCTATTTCCCAACTGAGCTGAACTGAAAGGAACTAAAAGGAATGAAATATCTATGCAAATCAGGCCCACCCCCAGGGGCTCTGGGGGCTGCTGCAATGGGAGACTCCTCGTCCTCACGCTTGGCGGTCACCCACAAACAGAGCTGCAAACAAACACACAGCAGATGTTCTGTCAGTGATGAGGGAGCAGTTCTCCCCAGTAGGTCAGGGCCCCTGGTCAAGCCCGCTCCCACGCCCTGTACCTTCCTATTCGAGGGCTGTCCCCCATATTCCATCCCTCACCTCTGGACTTTGTGAAAACCCATGCACAGGGATGCGGGACTAGAAAGGGCCAGACGTTGGGGGGTCCTCCAGCTTCCGATGTCTGCTCCTTAAATTGTTGTCATGCCCATGGTCGGCAGAGATCTCTGGGCTGCAAGGCTGACATTTGCCACACACCACTGGGGACAGAGGTCACCTGCAGTTGAGCCTTTGATCCACAGGAGAGGGCCAGACACATCAACCTTTGACCTCCACCCTGGCTTGGACCAAAATGGCCAAACTTTGATCCTTTCTGTATGCAGGTCTCAAGGTCATTACCTCCCTTTCATTAAGGCTTGCTCACAATCAATAGCTGGTAGAGGAGTCCTATGCAAACTTCTTTCTCTACATCCCATTAGTTCAGTTACTAGGTACTGAGAACCTACTGGATGCCTGGCACCCTTCTTAGCAAGTGGGCCCAGCAAGTAATAAAGACCCCATCCTCCAGGAGCTGATGTTCTACTGGAAGAGGCAGTCAAGAATCAAAATAGGGGCGCCTGGGTGGCTCAGTTGGTTAAGCGTCTGCCTTCGGCTCAGGTCATGATCCTAGGGTCCTGGGATCGAGCCCTGCTCAGGCTCTCTGCTCAGTGGGGAACCTGCTTCTCCTTCTCCCTCTGCCTGCCTCTCTGCCTACAGAGAGAGCTCTCTGTCAAATAAATAAAATCTTAAAAAAAAAAATCAAAATAAGTAAGAATGACATCATCTGTTAGAATGTGGTAAACGTGCTGGAAACAATGATACTGGGAAGGCATATGAAGAATGTGGGTTAGGAAGGGAACAGTGACTTTAGACCCACTGTCACCTGAGAAGGTGTCATTTGAGTAAAGACCTGAAGGAGGTGAGGGAGTGAGTCATGCAGATATTTAAGGGAGAGAGGTCTAGTGCAAAGGCCCTGAGGCTGACATGGGATTGACGAGTTCTGGTGAGAAGACCAGTGTGGCCTAAACCACAGAGTAATAAAGGGGGAAGGTGGGAGGAGGTGAGGACAGGTCCTGCAAGGCCTTGTGGGCTGCAGTGAAGACTTTGGCTTTTGCTCAAAGTGAAATGAGGGGCGCCGAGGGGTGTGAGCAGAGGAGGGACATGATCTGACTCAGGTGTTTACAGCCTCCTTCTAGCGGATGGAAAAAGACTGTGGGGAGTGGAGATGGAAGGAAGAGAACTCTAATCCTTCACTCAGCTCAGGAGGGGAGGAGGGTTCGTGTATGTCCCACTTAACACCTATAAGGAGACCAGACTCTGAAAGAGCTAACCAGTTGTCTAGGGATACCCAGCCACTTAGCGGCGCCCCCTAGATTTGAACATGTGTCTCTGCGACTAGAGTGGTGTTGGACAAATAATCATTTTTTTGGTAACTTATGTGTCCGTGACATCAGGGGGATAGAGATCTGAGACCGAGGAGACAAAGGGAGGGCTTCCTCTGTCTCTGGGGTAATACCCCTGCAACAGGATGATGAGTAAAGGAATTCACTCAAGAAACATGTATTTTTTTTTTTTTAAGATTTTATTTATTTATTTGAGAGAGACACAGCGAGAGAGGGAACACAAGCAGGGGGAGTGGGAGAGGGAGAAGCAGGCTTCCCGCGGAGCAGGGAGCCCGATGCGGGGCTCGATCCCAGGACCCCGGGATCACGACCTGAGCCGATGGCAGACGCTTAACGACTGAGCCACCCAGGCGCCCCGAAGAAAATCTTTAAAAAGAAAAAAAGAAGATAAATACTGATGGGAAAAAAAAAAAAAAGACAGGATAAGTGAGTCAGAAGGGCCGGGAGTGGGCACAGCAATTTTGAATATGGTGGTCAGGACAAGCTTCTTGGAGGAGGTGACATTTGAGCAAAGAATTGAAGGAGGTAAGAGATAGAGCCATGTGGAGCTCTGGGGAAATTATGTTCCAGGCAGAAGAAACAACAGTGCAAAGGCCCTGAGGTGGGTTCAATTTAAATGAATGAGTTGCCATTAGGAAGGTCCAACCACCCCTAACTCCTGCTGCTCTCTCCCCACTTCTGATCTTTGCAACTCTGTTCTTTGAGCCTGGAACACCTTTTCTCCTCTGGACAAACTCCTGATGGACCTTCAAGTTACAGCTTCAGGGAAGTCACCTTTAAGACCCCTGCCCCCAGGGGTTAAGAGTTCTTCCCCTGGGCTCCCACATACACTGTAGGCCTCCCTTCCCCTATTCTTTTTTTTTTTTTTTTAGGATTTTATTTATCTATTTGTCAGAGAGAGAGCATATTCTCTTAGTGCTAGTGAGCACAAGCTGGGGGAGCAGCAGGCAGAGGGAGAACCTGGGGAACAGCCCGTAGAGGGAGAAGCAGGATCCCCGCTGAGCAAGGACTCCGATGTGGGGCTCAATCCCAGGACGCTGCGATCCTGACCTGAGCTGAAGGCAGACACTTAACCAACTGAGCCACCCAGGCATCCCCTTTCCCCTATTCTGATTCCTCAACCTTCTGCACTGCACTGTATCTCAATGTTGTCTGCTGGATTTACCTACTCAGTACCAGTAGATGCCTAATAAATCATTAAGCAAGTTCTGTTCCATCATTTGCTACATAATATCCAAACTTCCTGGCACAGGACAGACTTGTAAATCTGCCTATAAATCATAAACTGGTTCTGGGAGGAGACACATAGCTGGTTGTGGTGGTGGCTTTTGGGAGGGGAACAGGGAGGGACAGGATCAGAGATTGGAGGAGACACTTCACTCTATACTTTTGTACTTGTTGAAATTTTCTTTACCTGGTGTGTGAATTACCTACACAAACATAAAATGAATAAATAAAACTCTACAACATAAAGGATTGAAAGACCTAAATTGCAGAGTGGGTGGAGTTTTATTTTTATTTTTTTTTGTTTTATTATTTTTTTAAAATGTTTTATTTATTTATTCATGAGAGTCAGAGAGAGAGAGAGAGGCAGAGGCAGAGGGAGAAGCAGGCTCCCCACCTAGCAGGGAGCCCGATGCGGGACTCGATCCCAGGACCCTGGGATCATGACCTGAGCCGAAGGCAAACAGACGCTTAACCATCTTGAGCCACCCAGGTGCCCCGAGTGGGTGGAGTTTTAAATACCCATCTACAATTATTCTAGCAGCGATAGAATACCCAATGAAATACATTGTAAATTTTTATTAATACTACACAAAAATATCCATGTTATATATCACATGCAAAAAAAAAAAAAAAAGCGCCCCCATCTTTAGTAGGTATTCAAGTCCTCCAGGGTCCACCCCATCCCTGCCTTGGCTCTTGACTTGTTTTGATGACAAAATTCACCCTCAATAATAATAATAATAATAATAATAATACCATTAAATGTTCACTTTGTGCTAGTCATGACTTCATTTCATTGAGGTCTCAGGACCTCTCCATTTTCCAAATGAGGAAACTGAGGTTGGCTCCCAGACCACGTTAGGCCAGCCAGGTGATCAGGCTCGGCGACGCAGCGAAGGCTGCTATGTGTTCATGACGCCCTCTGGAGGCCTCGCGGGGAAGCTGGCAAAGAGCCTAAAAATGAATATTTAGATTTCGGTTGTAAGGGTGCGCAACGGGGGAGGAAATCCGGGGTCTGCGGACTCCCCACCTTGCTGTGTTTTCGGAGAGAGTTCTGGGAGGGGACGGGACCCTGTCTAGGAGGCGGAGAAGACACAGACCTAATCTGTGGTTTGATGGGGAACTTACCCTCTGCCTTGGGGAATCTGAGAGGCACGGTCTCACAGGCTCAATACTAAGGGTTTTCTGCGGGAGATGAGACCCTGCACGTAAACAAACACACAAAACCACTTCACTGGAAACTGAAAAACCAGCGCGGAGGGTCTAGGAGGCTAGATGGGGGCGGGGGCGGGGCATGGAGGGCGTGACCGACACCAAAAGCGTAACAGGTATTGGTCATATTCTCTTAGTGCCCGCCCCAGAACCGCCCAGCCATAGGCGGGCCACTTTCCCAGCCTTAACGCTCATTGGCTGAACGAGGAGCGCGCCTTTCCGTCAGGGAGGTCTCATTGGCTGGATTCCTGCACAGGCTCTTTAGGGGCGGGACCCAGGAAAAAGAGCAGGGCCTACCGAAGGGGCGCGGCTTCTTGCTGCAAGGTCGCGTGTTTCCAGGTGTCGCAAGGGGGTCCCGTAGGCCAGGCGTGAAAACTGGAGCCTGGGGGTTAGTCCTGGGGCGGAGATGAAGGCACGCTGGGCCAGGCCCCGCCGACTTCCCTCTTGCACTCAGCTTTCCAACGCCGACCCGAGCGGGGTGGGCGGTGTCGCGGGCGTGATGTCATTGCTAGGCGTCGCGCACAGCCAGAAGGAGCCTTGACCTCTCCGCGTGGGGAGCTGCGCCGCAATGCTGCAGCTAGTACGGGCTGGGGCGCGGGCCTGGCTTCGGCCCACGGGCTGCCGGGTGAGGCGGGGCGCTGGGGACGGGACCGGAGGACAAAGGCTGGAGGTTCCGGGTGTCGTTTCTCACTCTCGTCCACCGTTTACAGGGCTTGAACGCGCTGGCGGAAGAGGCAGTACCCCAGGCGGCGAAGCCAGAGTCAGTAGCTAGCGCGGGTGAGGTTGCCAGGGTCGCTCCAGGAGGGGCGGCAACCGGGAGCCCTGACGCTCGGCCCTGACCCCTGACCTCCCAATCGCTTCAGGTCCCCAGGTGCCAGTGCTGCGCAGGTGCGAGCTCCCGGTACCCGCGCCCCGGCGTCCGGTGCAGGCCTGGGTGGAGTCCCTGCGCGGCTACGAGCAGGAGCGCGTGGGTCTGGCGGAGCTGCACCCCGAAGTTTTCTCCACAGCGCCCAGGTGAGTGGGAGTGAAATGGTGAACTGAGTGCGCGAGGGAGGAGGAGCGGGGCTTTAGGAATCAGGATGACCTGGGCTTGAGCCTCAGCTTCTTTACCTGCCAAAAGGGGATGATGGTTTTCCCTGCTACTGGGTTATGTAAGATTGAGATCTAAGAGTTAACATCCTCAAAGAGTTAAGGACGCACAACTCCGGAGCTTCAGTGACTGAGTTCAAATCCTGCCTTCCCGCTTGTGTTTCAGTGTCCCCATTCTGTCAGACCTCAAGAGGTTGCTGTGATGATGAAATGAGTTAATTCTGGCACCTAATAGGTTCTATAGATATGTTGATTATGATATGCTGTTACCGACTTTTGCGAAAATAAGCACTAACAATGGTCAAGCCCTGGCATTGCCTATTGGCATTTTGGTTAAGTAGATCCTTATAGCCACCCTAGGAGAGGGTTCAGTTATTCTTGCTTTGCAGATAAAGAAACTGAGCAGAGAGGTTAAGAAATTTGCTCAAGGTCACACAGCTTGTAAGCTTTAGAGTCAGGATCTCAACCTTACGTGGGCCAACTCCTTGGGCTGGCTTATTGGCTTACCGAGGCGTATGATGCCCCTCAAGTGCATTGTATCTGGCACATAATAAGTGCTGTTAATTTATTACTATTACTGATTTTGGCATGGTTTGCCCCTTGCTTTTAGAGTCCCAATCTACTAGAGAGTGAGAAAAGAAATTAAAAACAGCGTATTTTGTGTATTCTGTAAATACTTACGAAGTGTCTGCTGTATGCCAGATTCCATTCTGGGTGTTGGGAATACAGCAGTGAATGAGTACCAAGGTTGCTGATGTTGCTTACAGTCTAGATCAGGGATCTGCAAACCTTTTTCCGTAAAGGGCCAGGGAGTAAATATTTTAGGGTTTGCAGGCTTTCATGTCGCCATGGCAACTACTCCTCTCTGCTGATGTAGTACAAAAGCAGGGTTGTGTCCCAGTGAAACATATTTACAGAGACAGGCAGCAGGCCAGGTTTGGCCTACTAGCCATAGTAGCTTGCCAACCCCGGGCAAGCTACCCCGGCAGTCAGGTCCAATGTAACCACATAATGTGAGTCACGTGTGTAATTGACATTTTGCTAGTAGCCACGTTTAAAAAAAAAAAAAAAAAGGGAGAAACAATCTATTTTATTAACCTGATATATCTAAAACAGTGTCATTTCAACATGGGGCACTGGCCACATTTCAGGGGTTCAACAGCCACACATCTGGCCAGTGTCTACCGAATAGGAGGATAGTGCAGGGCTAGAGAGGCAACCCAGTCCCTAAAGAAGGTGGCAAGGAGTAAGTTGTAATGGTAGGAAAAGGGTAAGTAAGGTACTGTGAGAAGGAGGAAGTGGTGGCTCTCCTCTTAGCAAGGAGGCTCCTCTCGGAGAGTTGTTTGGGGCTGAGACTTATGGGCTGAGGAGGAACCAGCCAGGGGAAGAGTGTTCAGGCAGAGGGAACAATGAGGTCAAAGGCATGGAGGCTGGACCCCATTTCACAGAATGGAAATGGAGTGGGCCTGGCGGTGGTATGAGATGGAGCAGAGAGGGGTGAGGGCAGATCACACAGGGCCCTGGAGCTGGATGGGAGGAGCCCCTGTTTTCAACTGGTGAGGTGGGGAGGGCTTTAACTGGAGGTAGTAGGCCTCTCACGGCCTCTTCTTTCTCCATAGGTTGGATATCTTGCACCAGGTTGCCATCTGGCAGAAGAACTTTAAGAGAATTGTGAGTGCCCAAGTGGGGGAGGTTGGTGGAAGGAGGCAGGGAAGCTCCTCGGTTTGTCTTCTCTGGATTGTTAGGCTCAGGCCTTACCTTCTCTCTTCTGAACCATTCACTGATGGGTGACGAGCCAGGTGTTTTCTGAACACCCACTGTGCATTAGGCATGGTGCTAGTGGACAAGGCAGGCAAGATCCCTGCCCTTGGGAAGCTCCTAGTCTAGTTATAGAGGTGAACATGAATCAAGTAGGCAAGCCTGTAAATATATGACTAGGGAAGTTGTCCCAGAGAAAAGGAGACATTTAGCCTTGGTGGATAGTAGGTGCTGACTAAGTAAAGGGGGCAGTGGTGCTAGGGTAGAGGTAGTGGGAACTGCACATGCAAAGGTCCTGCGGCAGGGACAACATGGAGCCTAGTGTGGCCACAGAGGTCAGCAGGAGCAGTGGTGAGTAGTTTGGATTTTTTTGCCAAGTGCGTTGAAGAACCATTATCAGTCAGGGTCTCTCTGCTTCCCATCTGCTTACCTCAGAAGTCCAGTGAGTCCTTCCCCTATTCACACCCTCCCTAGCTCATCATGGAAGTCCCTCGTCATCTCCCCACCCCATACCTCTCCCTGATGTTCTCTAGCCTCTGCACACGTTTCCCCACGCCACACCTTCCTTTCGGTTGCCACCACATTAAAATCATTCAAAAAATGCCGAGTGCCTACCGTGTGCCAGGCAGCAGAGCCCCTGCCTTTCTGAGGCTGACATTCTGGAGCAGATGAGGGGGCTTTCGATTTCTTTATCCTTCTTCTCCCTCCCCAAGTGCTGTGTGTTTGTCCCGATGGATCCCTGATCTCTGTACCTCCTGTTGTCGGGCTCCCCAGTGGCGAGCCCCTACTGCCCAGCTCACTGCTGTTTTCCCAGGCCCGGGCCCTCTCAGCCGTGACAGTGTCTGCCTTGGGAACCTGACCGTCCGTCTCCTCCCTTTGCACCCGCAGAGCTATGCCAAGACCAAGACTAGGGCCGAGGTGCAGGGTGGAGGCCGGAAGCCTTGGCCACAGAAAGGCAGTGGGCGTTCCAGGCATGGCAGCATCCGCTCCCCGATCTGGCGAGGAGGTGAGCGGGGCAGGGAGGGAGGGGCCCTGGGGGCATCTCCACACCCATCTGGTGTGATAACTGTCAGTCCCCTTCCTTCCCCCTGGGCAGGGGCAGCGGGGCTCCAGCCTGCAGACCTCACTACCCGTGTGCGGGTCAGAGATCAGAGAGTCGGCCACTTTCCCAGCTCCCTGTCAGCTCTGGCCTTAGCCTCTCATCAGACCATGGCCACAGCCCCTTTTGGCCCCGACTGCCGTCGTACCTCTCCTGGACCACCCTGCACACAGCACCCAGAGTGCTTTTCCTAAGCCCCCCGGTGGTTCCTGCAGCCTTTTTGGAAAGTCTGGGCTCCTCACCTTGGCATTCCAGGCAGTGGTGCCTACAGGCCCCCCCCTTGTTCCTCCACATCCTCTCTGACCAGACAACTGATTCAGTGTCAGCTCCCATTTGCCTGGCCAACTCTTGCATCCTTAGCATGTGTTTGGGCTGCGCCTCTTCCAGGAAGCCCTCCCTGACCTCCTTTGGGTCCCCTGCCCCCAGCAACTCCTTGTGCCGCCCCAAAAAGACAGCCCTGATTTCCTCTGCAGTTGAACCTCTGAATGTGAATGACAGGAGGGCGGGGATCTTGTCCATCTTGTTCCCTGCTGCTCCCCTAGGGCCCAGCAGAGGGTGGACACACAGGCAGATGGTCCTCACTCAGGGTTTGACAGCTGAGGAAATCGAGGCCCAGTGAGGCAAAGTCACCTGTCCCGGGCGATGCTGGATCCAGTGTCCCCTCTCTTTCCCTCCTCGAGGCCCTGTCCTCTTTGCTGATTCGGTTTGCCTGCTGGCAGCCTCCCTACACCAGCCACTGTGACAAATTTCTGTCCTCTACGCCCAGCTGGCGTCCTCACCTGTCCACATACCTCTGTCTCTGCAGGAGGCGTTGCCCATGGCCCCCGGGGCCCCACGAGCTACTACTACATGCTGCCCATGAAAGTGCGGGTGCAGGGCCTCAAGGTGGCGCTGACCGTCAAGCTGGCCCAGGTACCGGCCGGGGGTGTGGGCTGTGGGGGCTGGAGGGCTCAGGCAGCTCCTGGGGGGCCCTTGGGGGCTCAGACTGTCCTTTCTTCCTGTTAGGATGACCTGCACGTTGTAGACTCCCTGGAGCTGCCGACCTCCGACCCCCAGTACCTGACCGAGCTGGCCCGCTACCGCCGCTGGGGGGACTCTGTGCTCCTTGTGGACTTGTGAGGGTGCGGGGTAGAGCGGGGCTGGGGGCGCTGGGGGGCCGTCCTCTGCGGTGCTCACCTCCTGGCCTCCATTTCAGAGCCCCCGAGGACATGTCTCAGAACGTCATAGCAGCCACCTCCGGCCTCAAGACCTTCAACCTGATCCCGGCTGTCGGTGAGCGGAGGGCCCCGGTTCTCCCCCCGCCAGGTCCCCAGTAGTCCATGGGCAGTTAAAAGTCTATCCCTGCCACCTCCTCAACCCAGCCCTCAGCTTGCCCGAACGGAGCATCGGGAAGATGCCATCCTGGAAGATCGGCTCTGTTCAAGCTCGGGGCTCAGTGAGGGGCTCCGAGTGAGTGCAGGAGCTGCTGGCTGTCCTCATCGGGCTCCTCCCTCTGAGAGGCTGGGAGGTGGGATCCAGTCTGGCTTGGGCATGTCACACCCATCACCGCATTGACTACTCAGTCCCTAGAGCTCTTTCACGGTCTCCTGATGGCATGACTGGCTTCCTCCCAGATGGCTGCCCTTGGGGGTCTCATGGGCACCTTCGCACCTAAGAACTCCTTCCTTCCTGTGGCTCAGGCCCCAGACCATGCTGTCACCCTCCACTCGTCTCTTAGCTCACCCCGTCGGCGTTGACTTTGATATGAGGGATTCCACCACTTCTTAACCCGCAGCTCCCCCGTCTCCTTCCGGGCCCCGTCCCTGGCTCCTGCTCTATTCTGCAGCCTGTTCTCCCCCACCACGGCCACCAGAGGGCGCCTGTGCGCACCCGAGTCTCGGCGCGGCCCTCCTCTACCCACAGCCCTCGGCGGTTCCCACCTCCCTCTGGGGCAAGGGCCAAGTTCTCCCTGAGGCCCAGAAGATCCTACACAACCTGCCCCATCCTCTCCCTGCGCTGGCCGCCGCGTCCTGTCCCGCTCGCTCACTAACTGCAGCCACAGGCCTCCCGCAGTACATTCATGCCTCTGCTCTGCTGAGGGTCTGTCCGGCCCGCTGGAGAGGGAGGTGGGGATCACAGCCCCAGCGCAGGGCAGAGCCAGGCACGCAGGAGGCTCTCAATCAGGGACTGAGCTGAGGACCGTGCCTCGCCCGGGGTCTTGCCATCAGTGAGCCGCTGAGCCAGGGTTTGAGCCTAGCCTGCAAGATCCGTGAGCCCGTGCTGCACCACAGTGTCTCTAGAGTAGGGCAATACGGAGAGGGGGTTGCTTCCTCAGTGGGGGAAGGGGGCCCCGGAGGTGGTAGGCAGCCCAGCCTGGACTGCATCTCCACCCCCAGGCCTGAACGCGTACAGCATGCTCAAACACCAGACCCTGGTCCTGACCCTGCAGACCGTCGCCTTCCTGGAGGAGAAGCTGCTCTGGCATGACTCGCGTTACACGCCCCTCTACCCCTTCCGCCTGCCCTACCGCGACTTCCCCTGAGCCCCAGTCCTCTGCCCTTTGGGGCCTGCCAGCCGCCCTCTTCCTGGGCCCCGCCGAGCCGGGTGCCTGCCCTGAGGCGGGCCAAGCCCCCTGCGGGCTCGGGAGCCTCGTGCCCACCCTGTGGGGGCAGAGCGGCGCCGCCTGGACCCTCTCATCCCAGTGCGGCTGCGCACAGAGCGGCCGAGCACCGAGCTCTGGCCCCAATTTTCGCTTTCATTTTTAAGATGAATCTTATTTTTTAATCAAAAAAGAGAAACAGAACAGCTCATTGCCATTTTGTAAATAATTCCACTTGGCAAGTCAAGCTCTTCCTCAGTGCTAGGTGCTGCTGGGTACCTCTCTCTTCAGGGGGCAACCTCAGGGCTGTTTATAGCAGTGACCCACAGTCAGCTTCAGCAGGACGAGTCAGGCTCCAGGAGCATGCAGAGGAGGGCCCAGCTGTCCATAGGAACCGGCTCCCAGTGCCTTCCCCACTGCCCAACACTGTACCCGAGAATTCACATCCCGGTTCGATTGTACAAATGGGAAGTGTAAACCTGAGCTTTCATCATCATGATTTCCCCTAAGCAGAGTCTGAATCCCTGTAGTCAGTAAATGAGCAAATAAACATTTTTTTAAAAAACACCGAACTGGGGCGCCTGGGTGAGTCAGTTGGTTAAGCGACTGCCTTCGGCTCAGGTCGTGATCCTGGAGTCCCAGGATCGAGTCCTACATCGGGTTCCCTGCTCAGCGGGGAGTCTGCTTCTCCCTCGGACCCTCCCCCTTCTCATGCTCTCGCTCTCTATCTCATTCTCTCAAATAAAATCTTAAAAAAAAAAAAACCCACCAAACTGGTATCCTAATTCTGGAGTCTGCTGCTGTTGTCTGCTCCCCAAGCTAATTTTTTTGTAACAGTCCTAACACAGACTATAATGTGGTCAGTTTCCTTAAAGTCAGCCAGAACTGACATCTGCATGTGTCCGTTTAGCCAAGGCCAGGGGGCCACAGTGACCACCCATGGGCTAGGCTGCCCCTTGCCAAAAATATGTCTGGAATGCATCTCTGGGGAGTGCCTTCAGAGCTCACAGAACATTCTTTGAAAATCCTCATGGATACAAACTTTGATCCTTAAAGCACCAGCTTTGACTAAGTAAAAAAGCCATTTGGACCCTGTAGTAAGAAGGGGTGCAGAGGGTGTGTGGGAAATGCCGCTTGGGCTAAAGCCAAACTCTTCCCTACCTCTCCCTGCGCCTCTCCCTGGCCACATGGGGACACGAGGCTTAGAGAAGACCCAGCTGTTCTGACAGCGCCTAGACTAGATTGTCGGAGCTGGAAGTAAGGCTGCTTAGTTGTCTACCTCAAGAGTGGTCGGGAAACAGCAAGGCCAACCCCCTGCTCCCACAGACTTCCCAGAGAAATGTGAGAAATGTGTCGGAACCTGTTCCACCATACTGGAAACCCGCAGCCAGACCAAGGATGATAAAAGGCATTAGAAAAAAATGATCTGATGGGAACCTGGGTGGGTCAGTCAGTTAAGCATCCGACTCTTGATGTCGGCTCAGGTCATGATCTCAGGGTCCTGGGATGGAGTCGTGTGTCGGCTCTGTGTTCAGCAGGGAGTCTGCTGGAGGTTCTCCCCCCTCCCTCTGCCCCTCCCCCACTCGGGAGCATGCGCGCTCTCTCGAATAAATCTTTTTTGTTTAAGATTTTATTTATTTGACAGAGACACAGCGAGAAAGGGAACACAAGCAGGGGGAGTGGGAGAGGGAGAAGCAGGCTTCCCGCTGAGCAGGGAGCCCGATGCGGGGCTCGATCCCAGGATCCTGGGATCCTGATCTGAGCCGAAGGCAGTTGCTTAACCAATTGAGCCCCCCAGGCACCTATAATGATCCTTTTTAAAAAAGAGATGAGTGAAGACATTTCTTCAGGGGAGCTGTTGCTACCCACAAGTCCTTCTCCCACCGCTTGGGACGTGGACTGACCCAGACAGAGACCAGAGAGGGAGGGCACTTCGCAGTCAGCTGTTCAAGGCAGGAGACCCAGGACTCTCGGGCTGAATCTGGCTTAAGAAAGCGAAAGCAGGGCGCCTGGGTGGCTCAGTTGGTTAAGCGACTGCCTTCGGCTCAGGTCATGATCCTGGAGTCCCGGGATCGAGTCCCGCATTGGGCTACCCGCTCAGCGGGGAGCCTGCTTCTCCCTCTAACCTTCCCCCCTCTCATGCTCTCGCTCTCTATCTCATTCTCTCAAATAAAAATCTTAAAAAAAAAAAAACCCACCAAACTGGTATCCTAATTCTGGAGTCTGCTGCTGTTGTCTGCTCCCCAAGCTAATTTTTTTGTAACAGT